AGCGGCACCCCCAGCCCGCGGAGCCCCCGCGCCCTCCAGCCCCGGGCTGCCCCCGGGGACCTGCCCCGGGCTGCTCCCGCCGCCCCCGGGGCGTCCCCGGGCACCGCTGCCCCGGGATGTCCCCTGCCCCCGGGACGCTCCGGTGCCCCCGGGATGCTCCGCACCTCTGACCTGGGATGTCCCCGGCCACCTCTGCCCCGGGATGTCCTCTGCCCCCGGGATGCTCCAGTGCCCCAGGCTGTCCTTGGGCACCGCTGCCCCGGGATGTCCCCTGCCGCCGGGATGCTCCGGTGCCCCCAGGATGCTCCGCACCTCTGCCCCGAGATGTCCCCGGCCACCTGGGATGTCCCTGGGCACCGCTGCCCCGGGATGTCCTCTGCCCCCGGGATGCTCCGGTGCCCCGGGGATGCCTCCTGGTGCCCTGGGATGTCCCTGTGCCCCCGGGATGCTCTGGTGCCCCTGGGATGCTCCGCACCTCTGCCCCGGGATGCCCTGGGCACCTCTGAGCTGGGTGCCCGTGTGTCCCCGGGCTGTCCCCGGGCACCCCTGGTCCAGGCTGCTCCCTGCCCACCCGGCCCCGTCCTGCTCCCGGGGCGGCTCCTGCCTGGGCAGGCCCAGGGAAGCCCCCGCAAGGGCTGGGGGTGCAGGGTGCCGGGGAGGAGATTGCTGCCCGCACGGCACGGTGACCTGCCCGCTGCTGGCCGGTGTCCCCTGGGGACTCTGTGGCCACCGTGGCCGCACTGCCATCCCTCCCCAGCCCGCTGGCCGAGAGGGACGCATCCTGCCCAGCAGTGCTGGCGGACCCTCCTTGGCTGCCCCTCACCGTCCCCTCCGGCCTGTCTGCCCTGTCCCCTTCCGGAGCTCAGCCCAGGCCCCAGCAGCTCCTTCCTCGCCTGGGCAGTGCCGACCGCTCCAGGGGCCAAATCCTGCCGGGCCGAACCGTTAGCAGGGGGTGCCGGGGTGGGCATGGCGGCGGCTGTAGGGCAGGTCCCCAGTGGTGCCCGGGGCTGGCAGGGCCCTTCCCACGGCGTGGGCAGGCAGGACGAGGGCAGGGCTGCTGGCCTTGGGTGGGTGGGTGGCGGGGGGCATCGCACGTGGGGGTCCCCGGCGGGGCGCTGGGGGGGGCGGCGGGGAGTGGGGGCCCGCCCTCCCCACGGCCCAGGTGCAGGAGTGGAACGTGGAGGCCCCCCACCTGATGCCGCTGCAGCCGCCGCTGCTGCCGGCGCGGGCGCACGTGCGGGAGGCGCAGCTCCACTCCGCCGAGGCCTCGCTCTGGACCGTGGTGGCCACGGTGCAGGCGATGGAGAGGAAGATCGACCTCCTCGCCACCCGCCTGCTCAGCCTGGAGGGTCGGTCCGGCACGGCTGAGAAGAAGCTCCTGGACTGCGAGAAGACGGCCATGGAGTTCGGGAACCAGCTGGAGAGCAAGTGGGCCGTGCTGGGCACCCTCATCCAGGAGTACGGGCTGCTCCAGCGGCGCCTGGAGAATGTGGAGAACCTGCTGAAGAACAGGAACTTCTGGGTGCTGCGGCTGCCCCCCGGCCCCCGGGGCGAGGTCCCCAAGGTAACGGCTCCCGGGGGGCTGCGGGCCGGGCGGGGGGAAGCCTCGGCTCCCCCAGGGAGCGGGCGCCGCTGAGCCGCCGGGGACTTGTCCCTGCAGGTGCCGGTGACGTTTGTTGACATTGCCGTCTACTTCTCGGCAGAGGAGTGGAAGAATTTGGAGGAGTGGCAGAAAGAGCTGTACAATAACCTGGTGAAGGAGAACTATGAGTCTTTGATCTCCCTGGGTAAACATCCCTTTTCGCCCCTTTCCCGGCAGGCCGGGGTGATGGCGGCGTCTCCCCGGAGGGTCCCGGACGTGGGTGCCCTGGTGCCTCGTGAGCGGTCGGTGGCGGCACACGCCGTGGCCCCGGGGCCTCCCGTTTCGGAGGGAAGCCTCTGCAGCTCGTGCTGTGGGGACAGGATGATGTGCCGTGCCGTGCCGTGCCGTGCCGTGCCGTGCCATGCTGGTGCCGTCGCGTGGGGCCGCCCGGGGAGCTGGAGCGGGTCCTCGTCCCCCAAAAGTGATGGCCTGAGCGTCTGTGCCGCACAGGCCTCCAGCACGGAGGTCCTGCCGAATTTAGGCAGCTTCTCCGCCAGGAGAGATGCCAGGGCCTGGCAGCCCTGTGCGTCCCCCCACCTCGGTGACGGGGGTCGGGCGGGCGCAGCCCCGCCGCCGGTGCCAGCCGCGCTCTCTCCCCGCACAGACGGTGCCCTCTCCAGAAGCGAGGCGCAGCCCCGCAGCGAGCGCGGGGAGGGACCCTGCGTCCCCGAGCAGAGGGAGCTGGAGCAGAGGGAGCTGCCGCCGGACGCCTGCGCGGGTGAGGCACCGGCCGGGAGCCAGGGCAGTGGCGGGTCCCCCCCGGCCCCACCGTCTCCCTCCCCTGCTTCTGCCCCGGCAGTCCCAGCCCCGCAGGGAGCAGTTCTGAAGGCAGAGCCGGGCTCTGGTCCCCCTGCCTGACTGGGGGCCACCGTCAGTCACCTGGGAAAATGCCCCATGGCTGATGTGCCGGGGGCCTTGGGCATCCACCGCTGGGAGATCCCTGCATCCCCCACTGCCACCACGCCACGTCAGAGCCCGTGGGCTGTGCCGCAGTCACCCATCCCCAAGGGCTGTGCCACTGTCACCTGTCCCCATGGGATCTCCCACAGTCACCCATCCCCACATCTCCCCCGGGGGGGTGTTTGATGCCCCATAACTGCTGTGGGACGGGGACGTCCCTCACGGCCAGAGCCCGGGGATGGTGCGTTGGCCGTGGGTCGTGCCAGGCAGCCGCAGCCTGCTGCCAGCTAAGTCTCTCCTTGAAAACAGAGTCGCTGATCTCCACCTCCGACATCCTGTCCCGGATCAAGCAGGAGGTGGCCTTCGTCGGGGAGCAGCAGTTTGCGGAGGAGCGGGGGATGCCGGCGGACCCCTGTGCAGGTGAGCCCGGGGCTGCGCCGCTCGCCCACCGGCTGCCCGACCCCAGCAGCAGCTGCTGTCTTTTGGAGCCATTGCCTCCTCCAGCCTGCCCGGTGCAGGATGGGGCCCCGCTCAGCTCAGTCCCCGTCCCCATCCGTCCCTGCAGGCGCGGACGCCCTGATCACAGCGCACGACTTCTTGTCGTGGATCAAGCAGGAGGAAGAGCCCTGCGTCCGCGAGCCCTGGGAGCTGCCGGAGAGGGAGATGCTGACGGGTCCTGGTCCTGGTCCCGGTGAGCGGTGCTGAGCCTGGCCCCATGGGGCTGGGGGGGGGGAGCACCCACCCAGGCTGGGCTGTGACTTGGGGACGTCCCCAGTGTCCCCAGCAGGGACTGACCAGAGCCTTTCCCTCCCCTGCAGCCGGCGAGGGGCTGCTGGTGAAGACGGAGGAGCGGTGCCCCCACGCCGAGCCCCCCGAGGAGGTGGGCTTGCCGGGCGCCTCCGGGGAGCTGCTCTTCCCCGGCGCGGGCTTCGGGAGCCCCGAGGGACAGGCAGCGGTGGCGGCGGCGGTGGCGGTGGCTCTGCCAGCACAGCACAGACTGGGCAAAGCCCCGGGCTCGGAGCCGGGGCCGGGGGCCGAGGCAGCTGGGGTCCCCACCGCGACGCCGGGAACCCCCGAGGAGGGGCCGGAC